CGAATGCTTCGAAATCTTGAAGATATTTTAAAATTATCATAAGCATGGTAAATTTTTGATCAAAACGTATTTGGTCGTCGTCCCCCCTAAAAAATTTATGACGTCACCACAAAATTTTGCTGAATAAATCCTATCTAAAATGTACAAAATATGGTGAGTCTCTTCTTGTGATTTATCATTCCATTCAAATTTTTTCGATTTGCATATACAGGGTGACTCAAAAAAATTAATGAATGCGTAAATTTATTTTATTGATTTAATCAGGAACTACAAAACCGAATGCTTTGAAATCTTGCAGATGTTTTAAGGTGATAAAGAGCATAATAAATTTTTAGTCAAAATATATTTGGTTATCTTCTACAAAAAACTGATGACGTCAGCTCAAAAGTTTGCCGAATAAATCGTATCTAAAATGTACAAAATATGATGAGTCTGTACTTGTGATTTATCATTCCATTCATATTTTTGGATTTGCATATGCAGGGTGACTCAAAAAAATTAATGAAAGCGTGAATTTATTTTATCGATTTAATCAGGAATTACAAAACCGAATGCTTTGAAATCTTGGGAATATTTTAAAGTTATTATAAGCATGGTAAACTTTTGTTCAAAATGTATTTGTTCATCCCTCCTAAAAAAATTGATGACGTCACCCTTAAATTTTGCTGAATAAATCCTATCTAAAATGCAAAAAATATGATGAGTTTGTACTTGTGATTTATCATTCCATTCATATTTTTTAGATTTTCTTAAGAGGTGGTTCAAAAAAATTAATGAAGTCAATTTATTTTATTGATTAAATTAAAGGCAACACTTATTATTAGTATTACACCCCAACCAACCCAATTTGGTAGACACAAAATTTGTTAAAGGAAAAACTCGGTTGAAACGTAAGGGTAGCACGCTTATTTACATCGACTTTAACATTACAGACCTGCATTTGTTTTATGCGTTCACTTGGTTCCGCGAATGTGAAATAGACATGTTTATAATCAACCAATTGTGAATTTCACCGTCAAGAATTAAAATAAAACCCAATGTTTTATATAATAAGCGGAAGTCGAAGCAATAAAACCGATGGTCGTTTTGTTTACAGTTCCTCTGTTTGACTCTCACGTATGCTGTTACGCCTGTCATCTTAAATTAAGATTGTTTATACATACACGATTTTCAGTTGCCTCTGATACGTATACGTGAGTAAATTGTTTCGTTATTTTATTGATTATTACAAATCAATATTCAAAACGACCCAATTCATTTTCCCGAAAATTTGAGAATATAATAATTTTATTCTTAGTATTACACTACATCTATCCCAACTGATATACGTGTCCTTGCAAAAATGTTGATGACGTCATCGCAATTTTTTTTTAAATTCCCACTACAAAAATGTAATGAGAAAAAAAACACAATAGGCATGCAGTCGTCAAGTTTCCGACAGCGAGGGAAGTACTGTCTAAACTCTTTAGACCAATTTTTTCAAATAGAACTCGAAGTTATTTAATTTATGCATTTTTTTCGAATTTTTGCTCTCTTTCTTTTTTGTCATATCTTATATTAGTTAAACATGATAAATACTGGGATTTTTTACTTCTTAAGAGACACATCGACATATTAGAAGAATGACAACAAATATAGAGAAAGATACACTAATAAAATACAGGGTATTCTATTTGAAAATTGTAAAGTTCTAGAATTTGCACCAACTTGCTTCTATTTGATCAATTTTTTCTTAATATGCGAAGTCTTCTTTTCCTAACAAGAAACTGATAATGTGTTTAACTATCTTGTTGTTGAAAGAAAACTCTACATATTAAAAAAAAAACACGAAAATTAAGCCCCACCCACCCGCCCGATTTTAATTGTGATGATTTTTTCATTCCTAATCAGATCGATGGGCGGAGTTTAATCGCAACATCAATATTTCTCTAAAAAATTCTACCCTTTTAAAAACATATTTCATATGGTAATTTTTTGTGGAGAAATGAGGATTTTGCAACTAAACTCCGCCCTTTAGCTAATGATGAATAAAGCATTCGTTACAATCGAGAAGGGGTGGGTGGGTGGGTGGGGGTTATATTTTCTCCATTTTTTCTTAATATGCGAAGTCTTCTTTTCCTAACAAGAAACTGACAATATGTTTAACTATCCTGTTGTTGAAAGAAAACTCTACATATTAAAAAAAAAACATGAAAATTAAGCCCCAACCACCCGCCCGATCTTAATTGTGATGATTTTTTCATTCATAATCAGACCGAAGGGCGGAGTTTAATCGTAACATCAATATTACTCTCAAAAATTCTACCTTTTTAAAAACATATTGCAGATGATAATTTCTTGTAGAAAAATGAGGATTTTGCAACTAAATTCCGCCCTTTAGCTCACGATGAATAAAGTATTCGTCACAACTGAGCAGGGGTGGGTGGGCGGGGCTTATATTTTATCCATTTTTTCTTAATATACGAAGTCTTCTTTTCCCAACAAGAAATTGACAATATGTTTAACTATCCTGTCGTTGAAAGAAAATTCTATATATGCATTAAAGAAAACAAAGATTAAGCCCCACCCACCCGCCCGATCTCAATTGCGATGAATTTTCCATTCGTTGTTAGACCGAGGGGCGGATCGTAATTGCAAAATACATATTTCTCTATTGATTTGAATGAGTTTTTCTTCTTAAAACAGAGGACTAATATTATATTATATAATTAAACCACAATCGAACAAAATGTTATAAACATTATAATTCTTATTTTATTAAGAAAAACCTTTAAGAAATCATAAAGAAACAAGTTTAAAATAAAAGACAAATTTTCTTTAAATGAGTTCAGGTAGGTTTAGATTCTAACTTCCAAAATTTTCAAAACAAAAAACTATTTCATTTTTAAAAATGATAATTAACGCTACAAAAAAATAAAAAATAAAAAAAGTAAAAATTCTAAAATGGTCTCAGAACGCACAAAATTTAAAATTTTTGAAAGTAGGACTAAAGAAAATTTGAGTCTGAATGCATCAAAATAAGAAATATGAGGCTAGATTTAAAAAAGTTTATGACCCAGATGGCAACTCAACGGTACATTATTATGTTCACAAATCTAGGTTAGGGAAAAATCATTAAAAAATTCCTTACATCAATTTGACGTTCATTTACACAAACAAAACATCCTCAAAAATCTCTAAAAATTAGCTTGTCCAATTAATCCTAAACAATTTTTAAGTTGTTTGTTATATTATTATAAAATAAAGAAAACTGTAGATGAAAACAAGACACCTCCAAAATTATTTTGAATAATGAAAGTCCAATTGATTTCATGTGTGCAACACTGAGTGGTGAATTAGAATATGGTGAAATATTGAACATAAAAAGTTAAATTTTGAAAGGCTACATTTTCTATATTTGGCCCCAAGAATTTTTTAAATTATTTTTACTCTGTTCTATAAACAGTCCTCAACAACGTGTCATAGAATTGGTACGCCATTTTCAGCATCCTGTATTGCTATACTTGTGGTTTACGAATATACCTTAACTTTGTTATTGTTATTATAATATTTGTTTATTTTTTCTCTTGTTGTTTAGTGTACCAACCAACTGCCAGGCGGCAGATCTCTTTTTTTATTAAAATATATAAGTTGTGTCGAAATAACCTTTTTTTTAAGTACAACAAGAAATACTGTAAATAGAAAGAATGAATATGTGTATTTTTTACAGATTTTTGTGTTAACTAATGTAGAATTTGAACAATTAAGCATTAAATGTGAGATAGATCTCCTTTAAACCACCGACTAAATAACTTATACGGAGAGTTGAACAAGTTAATTAATAAGTCAAACCCAAAATACTATACCGAATGAATATTGTAACGTCCGCTTGTATTTTGGTAGTTGTTTCTTTTACACAAACTATTTAGTTTGAATTGGATTTTTAACAAGTAACTCACGTAACCCTCTACTATTGATAAATAACTTATAATTTTAGTGAAACTTCCTCAAGTATGCTTTTTTTAGGTAAACGCCTCTACACGCCCTGCCTTACCAACCTACTTTCGAAAACTTTAATGAAATTGTTTAGTAAATATTACTGTCACTAAAAATTTTACAGAAACGATTGATCGCAATAGCCACTCGTGAAAAAAACTTCACTAACGTCAGGTCCGATTTATCACTTTCGTAAATGTAAATTGTTTTTGATTATGAGTATTTATAACAACAAAAAAAAAGAAAAAGAATCGTTTGATGACGTGTTTAGTTATACTCGACATTATAATTTATACTCAGATGGGGAGAAAGATAATGAGGCGGTTTTAGAAAATTTACATTGTGTTCAGCACATAGTGTTGACAGTTTGAGATTTTGTTTCAACATCTGAACCAAAAGAGGGTTTTACTAAATTTATATGAAACTAGGGCAACTTTGCAAATGAATCTGAATGAGAATATCGAAAACAATTTGCGCTATGATTTCAAATACTCGTATTTTAAAAAAGTTGTTAGGAATATCGTAATAAACAATGAAACTGAAAAACTTATTTCAAGTTTCAAGGTTAGAATAAACCATTAAATTAATTGAAGATTTTTTTCATTCTACAAATTACATCAAATTTAAAGATATTTACCAAAATTATTAATAAAATACAGTATTCATTGTGTCAGGGTCATTATTACTGAAAAAAGTAATCCCATTGGTTGAAAAGGTTCAGTTCTCAAAAATATGTGTACATATTTGTCTTTCCTAATTATTAAGAAAAAACAATAACTTTCTTGCACGCCAGAACCGTTATGAATATCGACTTAGAAAGCTAAGCAGTCAATATTTACATTATTAATAACCACCGTCGAAAAAGTTTTTAGAATCAATCATTTTTATTTTAACGTGTTATGCTCAAATTATATTAATGGAAGTCCATTCAACGTAAACATTAATAGTGCGCAAGTCTCAGACAGGTGCTCAACCCCGCAACTATTACAAAACTAACCCTTTTAACGCTAGTAAGTGCGTGTACATTAACAAATGAATACGTTAGTAGACAATTGTTCCTTTAGGGTAAAGGCGGCAGTGCGTGTGAACACATCGAACTAATTATAGGTAAGCTCATGCTATTCCATGATTTTTAAAATTAAGTTTTAAAATGATTCTTAACTGTTATCGTTTATTTCAACATTTGCCGCCTTTTTAATAAATCAAATATTTTTTTCTTTTTTGTTTTGAATGCTTTATAACGTGTAGTGTTGCAACAATTAAAGCCATTCCACTCCAGTAAATATTTATCGTCAAAGTTTCAGCTCCGACAGACTGAAACTTGCCTATTCCCTTAAAGTTTCTTTGGTAAGTGAACACACAGAAATCATTCACGAGGACTGAATAGACACTCTTGCCTTTAATGAATCTTTAAACTTGTGCTAATTTCGTAGTTAATAATAGCTGCAGAAACTTTGTCGTACTTTGATAACTTGAAGCTATTAAATTTTCGAAGCTTTTAGATTAAACAACTTTAACCAGAATAAGAGACATTAGCCAAGTTTTTCCAGGTACTTAATGTAAGTTTTAATGGAATTCTCCCACACGGAAAAATCGTCAAATCTAATCCGACGTGACTTTAGCTGCATTTTAATTAGCCACCATGAAGAGAGAACGGTTTTAATGACACCTGCCCCTATTGTACATTATCGATTCATATTTTATCATGCCGTTACAACAAATGTAATTTATTTTTACTGAAAGCACATGCTATCGATTCACATAAACGCGTCACTCACAACAAATGCCGTCCCACAGACAATGATTGAGGAATCCCATTATTAATGCAAGACTAATTCCGCATAATAGGAAGAATAATTTTTTCAAATTGTTCTGGAGCTAGTTCGACAAACACAGCGGATTCCAGTAATTGACCCAAAAAACTTGATTATCCTTTTATTCTATTAATCTGTATAATTTCGGAGAACAATGGCGTTCTGAGGCATTAAAGAGAAAAAGTCCACGTGACGATAGCCATCGTCTGTCGTGATCCGCATAACTTATTTTAATATTTCCCCTTTCATGCAGTCCTTGAACTTAGATATGCAAATCGGAATAACTGGCAAACCCTTACCATCAACATCCTCATTTCCATTATAAGCGAATATTTTTAAGGTATGGGCTGCAGCGCTGCAAAGAACTTAACAGTCGAGCCTTTAGATGGCAATAAAGTTACTGAGTTATCTAACGGCCATCCGGATACGAGAAAAGTTTCCATTCCGAGAAGCGTTTCAGACGTACCGCCGCTGGAAGGAGAGGATCCCCAGACTGAAGTTCTAGAGACTGCCACTGTGAATAATTTACAGAAAGGAGGTTGGTTAACGATACTGTAGGCTCCACAGTCTTGAAAATCCTCATTTACTGTTATTAGCGAACGGATTGTCGTTTGAGATTGCCTTTCAAGAGGAAGGGGAAGAAAGTATTATTAAGAAACATCCGCCGAAGAGGTTTCAGAGGCTAGAGGAGCAGCAGACTAGTCCGACGACGACCTTGGTCAAGCTTCAGGAAAAGCTCGACGAGGCCGAAATTAGACGACAGCAGGTAAATAATTGTTGTTGCATGACTTTCTAGCGGAGTTTTTTACGATAGTTATTTGCAGTTCGCATGATATGGCAAATATGAGCGTCAAAACATTAATTTATTGTGTCCGGTGCTTTGTGTGGTTTTTATTTGCAAAATTTATCGAAAATCGTTACAACTTGTAGACCGTATCTTTGCTTAGTGGAAAAACGTTATAACAGACATTTTCTTGGAAGTAGAAAAAGTACAAAAGTAATTCTGATATATGGTTAAAATTGAGCTTAAACTCACCAACTACAACCAGTTTTTTTGTAAATATTTTTGAATTACGCACAAGATTGCCACTGGCGTGGAATGTGTCTGTTACATAGTTTTTGCTGAAATATGCGATCAAAAGCTTTATCATTTGTCATGTTCAGGACTTTATTCTCTTCAAAATTAATAATATATCTTGCAATTACGTATAAAAGCTTTTCGCTGTTCGTCAAATTTAAAGATCTTGTGTTCTGAACAAATGTTTATTCGATAAAATTCCTTTTTAGTTAATCGTTAAAAATGGATTTTTGAAATCTCTTTGCATTTGGAACTTACGTATTCCTGAGTTATTTTTCCTCTGATTTTTATTTTTGATATTACCTGTCTATGATTTCTAAATTACTTTGTAAATCTTCTGGTGTTTTTGCCATTTTTTGTTTTTTTTTCGTTGTTTTCTTGAGTTTCCTTTTTGCTTCGTCCAATGCTATTGAGTAAAGGATTCGATTCACTCCCATCTTTGTTTTAAATTCTTTTGATTCTTCGTTGTTGGTTGTAACTACCTTTATGTTCTCTATACACATTTCTTTTATCATTTTTATTGTTTCGTTATCTATTTCTCTCTTTCTCTTTTTCCAAGTCTATAAAACAAACGTGTATCTCTTTCTTCTTGTTTATAAATTTTTCACGGACTTGCCTTCCAAAAATATTAGCTCTTGTTCCAATATTTTCTCTTATTCTGTTCTTATTGTTGCAAATATTTTTCCGGGGACACTTGATAGTATGTTATATCCCTATCAATAAATTTTGCAATTTCTTTTGTCTCCTTTTCCATATATCTTAATATCTTACTTGCCAAGATAATACGGATTTTGCCAAATGACATACCCTCTAAGAAAATAAAGGGCGGATGAGCGAGGTTAATATTTGCCAAGATAAGACTGATTTTGGCAAATGACCCACTCTCTGCGAAAATAAAGGGTGGATAGTCAGGGCTAGTACTTGCCAAGATAATATTTATTTTGGCAAAGGACCAACTTTCTAAGAAAATAAAAGGCGGGTGGGCGGGGCTAGTACTTGCTAAGATAAGACTGATTTTGGCAAGTTACCTACTCTTTAAGAAAAGAAGGCATGGATAATGAAATTATATTATAATTATCACCAGAAGTAGGAAGATTGTTAAAGAAGTTTAGCGTTTTTGTTCGAAGACCACTACGTTTTGACAGTACATAATTAAATTGCATTTAATGTATTTGGTCGAAATTAGTTTAAGAAGATTTTTGAATGAGTTGTAGGTGTACCACAAACATATCTTATGAAAAGACTTCCTTGTCTATCTATCTGTTCTATAATTTTCGTTTAATTTGGTCCTTCAACCAATTGTAGTTTACCAAGTATTTTGTCCATTTTTTCTTAATTAATGAAGTCTTCATTGCCCAACAATAAATTGAAAACATGTTTAACTATCCTGTTGTTGAGAGAAAACTCTATATATTGAAACAAAAAATTAAGCCCCACCGACCCGCCCCAGTCTCAATTGTGATGAATTTCATATTGTAATTTTTTGTAGAGAAACGGGGATTTTGTAACCAGACTCCGCTCTTCAGTTCAAAATATTCATCCCAATCGAGAACGGGTGGGTGGACGGGGATTGTATTTTGTACATTTTTTCTTAATTTATGAAGTCTTCTTTTTCCAACAAGAAACCGAAAACATGTTTAGCTATCCCGTTGTTAAAAGAAAATTCTATATATTAAAAAAAAAAGAAGATTAGGCCCCACCCACTCGCCCCAGTCTCAATTGTGATGAATTTCAGATGGTACTTTCTTTGCTACTGAAACTGTAAAATTGCTATATTTTAACATGCGATTTTGGAAAAACAATAGAAATTTTCGAAGAAACGAAGCCTAAAATGACTTCTGGATGTCGAAATCTACAAGAAAATGTCTAACTAATTTTCGAAAATGGTTGAAAAATGGTCAAAAATGTCAAAATCAGTCATATCTTATAAAATACTAGCCCCGCCCACCCACCCTCTGTTTTCTTGGAAGATATGTTATTTGCCAAAAATAGTCTTATCTTATCAAGATAACGATAGAAATTTTCGAAGAAACGAAGACTAAAATGACTTCTGGATGTCGTAATCTAGAAGCAAATGTCTAGCTAATTTTCGAAAATGGTTGAAAAATAGTCAAAAATGTCAAAAACAGTCATATATTATAAAATACAAAAACAAGAGGAAGATTTAGTTTCTGTTGTGTATCTAACAGTTTAGATATTTTTTATATTAACATTGTAACTTTAAATATTTGTTTTATATAGGAACGAAATTGAATGTTTGTACTTCGAAGAGTCACTTTAAGATTCACTGCTTCGAAGATTTTCTTTGAAATGATGCTGACTGGTTTGTCAAGAATTTGTGCTGTAATGGACATTCTTGGTTCATAAGCTAACGAAGAAGTATTGAAAATGCCGATAATATTATTTATTTGAAATTCTTCATCAACAGAGGAATTTGAACCGATGTCGACGTTTTTGACAGTTGGTCCATTTTTTCTTAATATACGAAGTCTTCTTTTCCCAACAAGAAACTGACAATATGTTTAACTATCCTGTTAAAAGAAAACTATATAATATATTAAAACAAACAAACAAAAATTAAGCTCCACCCGTCCCGATCTCAATTGTGATGAGTTTTTCATTCCGAAATATACGGGAGGAGGGGGGGCAGTTTAATTGTGACATATTATTTCCTAGAAAATTCTATCCTTTTAAAAATATATTTCATATGGTAATTTCTTGTCGAGAAATGAGAATTTTGCAACTAAACTCCGCCCTCTTCAGCTCACGATGAATAAAACATCATCACAATTGAGGGATTGGGGCTTATACTTGGTCGTTTTTTCTTAATATACGAAGTCTTCTTTTCCCAACAAGAAACTGACAATATGTTTAACTATTCTGTTAAAAGAAAACTATATAATATATTAAAAAAAAAAATAAAATAAAAAAAAAAATTCAGCCCCACCCACCCGCCTGAATCTCAATTGTGCTGAGTTTTTCATTCCTAATCAGACGAAGGGCGGAGTTTAATCGTAACATCAATATTTCTCCAAAAAACTCTACCCTTTTAAAAGAATATTTCATATGGTAATTTCTTGTAGAAGATTTTGCAGCTAAACTCCGCCCTTCAGCTCACGAGGAATGAAATATTCATTACAATTGAGAAGGGGTGGGTGGGCGGGGCTTATGTTTTGTCCATATTTTCTTAAGATATGAAGTCTTCTTTTCCTAACAAGAAACTGAAAACATGTTTAACTAACCCGTTGTTGAAAGAGAATTCTATATATTAATAAAAAACAAAGATTAAGCCCCACCCACCCACCCGATCTCAATTGTGATGAATTTTTCATTCGTTGTTGATTTTTGACGTGAAGATCTATTTTGATTATATTTTGATGCTTTTAGTAAAACCAATTTTATGAACATTGTTTGATGCATGTGATGAGTTGTTATAAACTTCTCGATTTTGAATTCTTGAAGCTTTATTTTCTTAGAAAGTGCATCCTTTGAAAAAATCAATTTTATCTTCGGAAGTGCTACCCCTACACACTCACTTTTTATTTTCTTAGAAGTATAGGTCACCTGCCAAAATCAGTCTTATCTTAACAAGTACTAGCCCCGCCCACAACCTTTTATTTTCTTAGAGAGTATGTCATTTGGTAAAATCAGTCTTACCTTAGCAAGTATTAGCGCCGCCCATCCGCCCTTTATTTTCTCAGAGAGAGAAAAAAACATTTGTCAAAATCAGTCATATCTTGGCACGTACTCGCCCCGCCCACCCGCCCTTTATTTTCCCAGAAAGTATCTCATTTGACAAAATCAGTTTTGTCTTAGCAAGTACTATCCCCACCCACCCACCTTTTATTTTCTTAGAGGGCATGTCATCTGCCAAAATCAATCTTATCTTAACAAGTACTTGCCCCGCCCATCCGTCCTTTATTTTTTTAGAGGTTATGTCATTTGGCAAAATTAGTCTTATCTTATCAAGTACTAGCACCGGCCACCCGCCCTTTATTTTCTTAAAAAGTATGTCATTTGGCAAAATCAGTCTTATCTTAGCAAGTACTATCCCCAACCACCCGCCCTTTATTTTCTTAGAGAGTAGGTCCTTTGCCAAATAAGTCTTATCATGAAGAGTACTAGCCCCCATCTTTATTTTTTTAGAGGGTATGTCATCTGCCAAAATCAATCTTATTAAAGCTCTTTTATAATCTGCTTAATCCCAGATTCTTACTCAGGAGGTTCGAATTAGGAAAAGGACCAAGTATTATCAGACAAATCAAGGTGCGTTTAACGGAGAAAGCTGATTTGGCTTAAATTCGAAAATTTTGACCGGAATATCTCCGGAAAAAGGCTTATTTTTATAGACATGTTTCAGTCCGCCTGAAATTAAGTTTTTAGATGGATTTTGCCTATCTGAGTGCGTTTTTGGCATCGGTTGTTGAAAATTTTCACTGTTTTAAACGAAATCCTCCTTTAACCAAAAACTCAAAAAACTTAATTGTGAGCTTGACGACCCATAATTTTTGAATAGTCAAAGATAGGATTTTGCGGTTTTTATCATTCGATTTCCTATGATTATCTGGACAGAGGAGAATATTTTCAGCTAGGTATCTACATCCGTTTAGAATCTATGTAACGTTTACCGAACAATGTTATTTTCGAAAAACTCAAGCATTAAAAATTACAAAAAAAATCAAAAACTC